GGTTCAGATGTACACGCGTATGTACTGATCCCGTTTTCACACCGTTCCTGAAGGAACGGGAGTTGTGAGTGTGTAGGAGTGACCTTCCTGCGTGGCGCTGCCAGCCTGGCTGTTCCTGCGCCGTTCGATTGCTGCCATGTTTTGTTTGTTTCCCATTTAGAAGCAGTTGGCTGACCCCCCTGCAAGTCCTCGAAACACAAAGCCGGGATGTGTGCGGTGCCTGGGGCTTTTGTTCTGCTTTTTTTAAACAAAACCTGAATATGTGTAAAATGACAGTGAAACCAATGTGGAAGAATGTTGACTGTTTCACGGTCTCTTCCTCATAGATTGATGATAGTATGTAGTGCCTTTTTTTTTTGGGTGTGTGCCCTTTTTAGGTGGCCTTTTCACTCACAAAAAGGTTACCTAAAGACTTCTGCACGGTTCAAAGGTGCTCCTTTTTGCTGCTTGCTTCTATTTTCCTTAATGAGTCTCATGTCTGAATCTGTTCCTGGTTTTACTGGGTCAGTTTTGAAGGTGCTTGGGGCTTTTTTTTTCTGTGTCATTGATTACTATTGAATTCTGGCATTCAGAGTATATTTTGTTATGAAAATAGTGTCTTACATTAAAATAAAAAAAAAAAACTTTTGCAGTGCAACTCCTCATGGTGTCAGTCAGCTTGTTCACTTTGAATTCTTATTTATTAGTTATTCAGTATTCTTAAAGACTTCGTTCATCTTAAAGGCATTCAAATCCTCAATTTCTATTGTAAAATAATAATAATTATTTTTTTAAAAAGTCCTTTAAAATCAACGATGTTCTGGTCTCTTTTTATATCACAAAGAAAGAAGGAGGAAAAGTAGTATTTTGTTGCGGGGAAAGATTATGCTTCCCCCCCCCCGCCCCCTTCCTTTAAAAGAAAAAAAACCTAGAGCACGTGTTGGGGTTTAGCCAGTGTGTTGCAGTAGATACAACTGGGAGTTTGTTTCCCGACTTGCGGTAACCAGACACGTGCGATGAAGCACACCTGCAGATAGATAGTGTTATCTGAAATCGCAAATAAAATAACTAGAGTTGGCCAAACCTGAGTTCCAGTTCCCATGCTGCAGGATGAAAATACCACTTGGTTTACTAAGTTTGGCTGTGTTACCTTGGGGTGCTGTTACTAATACCATACCAGGTAATAGTAGACGTGACTCGTCTGCAAGCTGCGGCCGTGCCGGAGGTGTGCCCTGTGCCCCGAGCGTGTTGGGCTGCTGCGGGGCTGCACTGGGGCCGTGCCAGTGGCTCTTGCCCTTTCCCAGGGCAGCTGCCCGTTTCCAGTGCCTCCTTTCTCCCTTCACAGACGGCCACGCGAGTGCTGGTGCTGACGGCACGCAGGTTGGAAGCCACCTCCCCTGGCAGCAGCAGCAGCAGAAGCCCAGCTCAGCTTCAGGTACTCTCAAAACTACACCCGGAGGGCGAGTTGTGGAGGTAGAGCTGGGCGCACCTCATGAGTAGTAGGTGTTACCGAAGGGCCTCGCCCTGACCCTGGCAGCGTGTTTCTTCTCCTGCCTTCTGCCAGTCCTGCTAACGGACCCGGGGAGTTCTGTGGCACAGAAGTGACGGAAAAACAGCTCTACCAGAAAGTTGCCAGCTGTTGGCACAGCTGCCAGTGAGGGGGAGAGGGGTGAAATAGGTGAGGGTGTTGGCAGTGGGGGAAGGAGGAGTTGCATGCAACATAAAAGCATTTTGCACAGGAGGATTTACTGATACAAGGTGTCGAGGCAAACATTTTATACACCTCATTTACCAGTCTCCGAATGGAGCTAGCTCTTAGATTATTTTTGAGGAACATCTTGTGTAGACAAGCCTACAGACAATATAGATTAAGGAAATAGAGGAACCTGACCTTCTGGTGAACCCAGCGTAATTTAGAGATGCGCATGTGCAGGTAACATCCATGTCAGAGCCATGTCTGTATTTGTAAAGTATTTTTAAAACCTGTTGATAGAAAGTGTGATTTGTTTTTCCTTTCCAGTTTTTGAACGGGTAGACTTCCTGATTTGCTTAAGGTCCATCCTTGTTGGCACTAGCTCGGGCAAGGAATCCAGTGCATTTTGTATTTTTTTTCGGTACAATTTCCAATAGCTGCCTTTGGGAAAAACTTCTCTTGTTTTTCTTTTGCTTTGTTTAAACTTCCTGAAGAGATCTCAAGGTTAAATTCTGTAAATGATTGGTGCTCTATAATGCAGAGTCTGTAGGCATGATGTAAGTACCTTTACATACACGAAGGTTCAGACAGGTATATCCTTTTGTAAGTGATTCTGTCCTTTGCATGCTGAACAGCTCAGCTTCAGGCACAGATTCCCTCTCCTCTGCCTTTCCAGCTTTGGGGCTGAAACACGGGGCAGGCAGCTGGAGGTGGTGACATTTTAAAACTGTCAGAGCAAGATTTGCAAGGTGGCCATGTGTATGTCTGATAGAGCTGAACATGTGTAACTGGTAGGCTTATAAATTTACTTTGCTTAAGCAAGCCTACAGAAGTAATTAACTGGATAGAAATTTTGAAGCACAGTATGTTAAATAGCAGTAATATCTGCAATGAAGCGTAATTCTTTTTCCTTTCCATTCTGTTATTTGTGAATTTGCAATGTTTATCCCCTTGATTTGTTTTTGCTCCATGGATTTTTGGTTTTTTTTAGTCTTCCATTTCCTTAAACCATTGGGACATAAAAAAAAAAAGTCATTTGCTGACCAGTAATTTTGCGTTGTTCCAAATTCGAAGCATAAAGAAGACATTGCTTCCTTCGGTGAGCAGTCTTAACCCAGAGCCCTTATTTCCATTTATTAGTGTCTTCTTATGTCACATAATGAGAGAGATTTAGTCTTGAAGCTTTTTTTACACAGTTGCTGTGTTTTGCCCTTTCATGCAATAGTGTCTTGTTTCTCATTTCAGGTTGACTTTGCTTTGGAAAAGCTCCATTAGTTTTAGTGAAATTCTTCTGATTTAAATCCCTGACACTGGAGTCAAGCCTTTAAGGTTTACATTTATATTTTCGTTGTTAGATTTCCCTTTTCTACTGCTGATGCTTCATTTCTGCCCTCTTTCTTGTGCCGAGTAGTATAGAATTAGTTGCAGATAAAGCTCAATGCAAGGGGTTAGGGTGTTAGGAACAGAGCTGGTGAGGTGGTGGTGGTTGGTGGTTTTGTTTTTTATCCAGCCTGCGTCAGTACAGGGCAAAATGGTTGTGAAATACATGGGATAGAATGTCAGCGCCAGATTAGACTGACCGTTTATGCCTTGTTAAAATCTTTCTGAAGCAATCAGTTATTGGATAGGCTCATTGCAAAAGTGTTTTTCAGGTGTCGAAGTGACAACCGATTCTACTTTAATTCATATTAAAATTAGGTATTTTTTAGGGTAAATGAGCCATACCAAGAATCTACCTTGTAAATATCTGTAAAAAACTCAATATGGAAAATGATAGTTTTAGAGCCTTCTTTTCTCAATGAGCAAACGTAGAGCACGCATTCTTTTCTTGCTCTTTGTCAAGATGGTGCCTTTTAAAGGTGCTGTGTAAAAAGCCTGTTTAAAAAAAGCGTGTTCATTGTGTTCTATATTAAGCGATGATGTAGCCAGACTTGGGTAATTGCAGCTCTAAAGGCGCTAGTGTGTCAGGGAACGAAATTGCCGTGAGGAGCTGGTGTTTACTGACTGTGTAAGCAGGGAATGAGGGAAACTGAAAAGAACCTCTTGGAAGCATGAAAAAAATTTCCATGAACTTCAGAATAATTCATTGCATGCCCTTCTAGACATACAAATAAACATGACGTGCGTTTGAGATGATTCCTGTGTCAGAGCCAAGAGGGCGTTTTGCCCAGCCTCTTGCTGCCTCAGTATCTTTTGGTGGAGGTTCATCCAGTTCATTTTAAAGCTTGGGAGTGGCAAAAACCCCTCACTGCTGCTGGACTGGTTGATGGCGTTACCTCTAAGACACACTATCTGCAAAATCAGCTGCTTTTTCTTCACCTGCAAACTTTTAATATTGGCATATGCTAACGTTTGGGTACTCGATTTTTGCAACTTCAGTGCTCTGATAACGCAAGTGTGTTTGCACGCTGGGGGGAGTGTTGTACACTGTGTGTTTAGAAAGTGCTGGAGCAAAAAGTTTTGCTGATAATTATTTGCAAGTAAGACTTTGGAAAACAGAAAGTCTCCCTGTTCTCAGTAATTTGCCCTTGGTTCTCATTTTCAGTAGGTTTATACAAATAGATGTGATTCTTTCTTCATTCTGTTTTGTGTACTAGCAGTTTACGTTCGTTTTTAATTGAGTCTTAGCTTATCAGTGAACTAATTTTTAGATGCCAGGAATGAACAGGTAAAAACTTACGGCCAAGGTTATTCACTGAGGTAACTGAATGTTATTAAACGCTTGTATTACAAGACTTCGTTGTGATAGAATTTCTAATGGAAATAGCGAGATTCCTCAACTGAATTTTTTTTTGGAAAATTTCGGTATTTTTTTGCCCCCTTTCTGTCTTGTGCTGTCATAGTAGTACTTGGAGACTCCAGCTGAACTGAGGATTACACTGAAAAATGAGGAAAGCCCAAGCTCTGGATCTTTATCCAGGAAATCTTTGGCTTCTGTCACTCAGGTGCTTTACTGGAACTGAGATCTCAGTTTTTTTTTATCTTGAACACTAACGTGATGCCAGTGGTGCTGGGACATTCAGAACTTGCCACCCAAGACAGCTGTTCTATGGGTATATTTTGTATTTAACATGCAGCAGATAATGCTGCATTGCCCTGCCCAAGGTGTACGGTCATTTGCTCTGTAATACTGTGTTGCCTCTAGTAAAAGGTCAAAACTTGTACCAGTTCTCAGAGTGACCAAAGAAGTATCTTGTCTAATTCTCATGCTGAAGTTAAGAACATAACAGATTGAATACTGAAGTGTTTTAATTTTTCAGACCGTAGCACTGCGAAGAAGAAACTCTGCAAACTTTTCTCAATGACTCTATAGCCAACTGATGTAACAATGGTACTAATACTGGGACGCAGACTGAATAGAGAGGATAGTGGGATACGAGATTCCCCTGCAACCAAGCGGAAAGTTTTTGAAATGGACCCAAAATCATTGTCAGGCCCTGAGTTTTTCGACTTCTCCTCGGGATCATCCCACGCTGAAAGCATTCTCCAGATCTTCAATGAATTTCGAGACAGCCGGTTGTTCACAGATGTTATTATCTGTGTGGAAGGAAGGGAGTTTCCCTGCCACCGAGCGGTTCTCTCAGCCTGCAGCAGCTACTTCAGAGCTATGTTCTGCAATGATCATCGAGAAAGCAGGGAGATGTTAGTGGAGATCAATGGCATTTTTGCTGAAGCCATGGATTGCTTTTTACAGTATGTGTACACTGGCAAGGTGAAAATCACTACCGAGAACGTGCAGTATCTCTTTGAAACATCAAGTCTCTTTCAGATTAGTGTTTTGCGTGACGCCTGTGCCAAGTTCCTGGAGGAACAGCTGGATCCTTGCAATTGCCTGGGAATCCAGCGCTTTGCAGATACACACTTGCTCTTCACCAAGTGCAGGAATTTTGCGTTGCAGACATTTGAGGATGTGTCCCAGCATGAAGAATTCCTCGAGCTGGGGAAGGACGAGCTTATTGATTACATTTGCAGTGATGAACTGGTGATCAGTAAGGAAGAGCTGGTGTTTGAAGCTGTCATGCGCTGGGTGTACCGGGCGGTCGAGTTGCGAAGACCAGTGTTACATGAACTTTTGACGCACGTCAGGCTGCCGTTGTTACACCCGAACTACTTTGTTCAGACTGTGGAAGTGGACCAGTTGATTCAGAATTCTCCAGAGTGCTATCAGCTGCTGCATGAAGCCAGGCGATATCATATTCTTGGAAATGAGATGATGTCTCCTAGAACTAGGCCACGCAGGTGAGGAAATTTTTTTTTTCCTCCCTTATTTCTGTAGGAGAAGGACATAGTTCATGTACAGATGTTTGGTATACATATGCCCAGAAAAAAGTCTTTTGCAGATTGTTTTATTTTGCACTCTGGGTCCACTACAGTTGCACTTCTCTACTTCTCCACAACATGTGAAGCTCACGCATGTCCTGAAGATGTACATAAGTGAGTCTTTTTGCACAGATCATTTTATTGCTATGAAATAAATGACTGTTCAGGTAAGTGAAGTTACCTTACAAGTAAAATGTTTTTACCTTGCAAGTAAAATGTTTTCTAAAGGTTAATGTTTGCTTGGTGAGATCTTAAGTTATTTCTCATAATAGCAGTGTCTTGAAAAGAACTTACTGTGCTGTAGCAGGTAAACCATTCCATGTCCCAGCTTCCTTTCTTGTTACAACAGAGTCATGTAGATGTACAGCGCACTGTAAAGGATGGGGATGGGGATATATACTCAGAGCATTCACTTGCTACATCACAAATACTTTACAGATGGAGTGGTACACAGATTTGTAATAGACAATAGACAGCAGAACAACAGGTTCTTAACTGCAAAGAAACTAAATCTTGCATTTTTTAAGAATTAGGAAACAGTTCCTGAAGAGTTCCATGCTTATTCGATGACATTTTAATAATTCAGAATTGCTGCTGCTTAATAATGCGTTACACAAATAGGTGACTGAAGTTGCGAGAAGAAATGAGGAAGAGTCCATTAGTGGTATTTATGAGCAATGGTGGTTATGATTTTTTTTTTCCCTGAAAAATATTTTCCCAGTAAAAGCCTTACCTCCACATGATAGTTGACATGATAGTTTATTGTTCACTCCAGCCGATTAAACTGGAGTTACAAAATCATGTGTTATATTGAGGTGATGCAATGATCTGGTCTGGACAAACAGATTGTCTTAGGAGTTACTCCTCTTTGTTTACTCTTAGTCATGTGTGGTTGCGGTAGAGTGACTTTGCAGGGAGCAGGGAACCTTTTTTTTTTTTTTGGCATGTGTTAAAGGCTAACTTATGGGAGGAGGGGGGAAATACTTGGCGAGCATTTGCCCCATTAGTGGCTTTCCAGTCTTCAGTCCTACACTGAGAGAAGAAATTCTTCTTAAACTCCTTGCAGCCCTGCTGCCAGGTTTTCTAAGCTGTATGCTGACATGGAGGGTCTTTGGAGATTTTTGGTTCATAAGAGTTTGGAATCTGGTGCAGTGATAGTTTCTGAGGTGTTCTGTACCCTGGGTCCGGGCCTGAGGGAGGGACCATGGGAATTCAGACCAAAGACCACCTTGTTTCATGAGCCGTTGGAGGAGGGCTGTATCTTGTGGTATTCGGTGTGGTGTTTGTTGTGCATTGTTGTTGCACGCAGTTGGATAAAGCAAGCAAATACACTCAGACCTGACAGTTTTGTCCAAGTGCATAGTGTGTATGTACTTGAGGATCTGAACAGCTTCAGTGTAGGTTCCAGTTTGTGAATGAAGTAAGTTGCCTCATACAGGTGACTTCTGAAGCTGGGGGGTGGGGGAGTATTGATTGGGGATTTTGTGGATTTTGTTGGTTTTACTGCTGAGCTTATTAAACTGCACTGTGAATTTGAGTAGGCAGAACAAGAGAAGTAATTTACA